ATGTGCACTTGAGCTTATGTTACTCTTTTGTTTTTATCACTCCCCTCTCTTTTGAACGAAGGCGATTATCCCGCATGTTGGGCCGTTAAATGTAATGGCAGTGCTGTTGTCACTCAATCTGATTTCGGAGCTCTCTGGTACTGCTCCTGAAGTGTATTCCGATCTTCTCTTTGATTTGTAGTATGGATGCTCATTTTCTTCTTTTCAGTTAATTTCGTATGGCAAGTTGCAGCTATCGACTGCTATGTAACTATGCACTATTTTCGCCACCCTCGCTTGGTTAATAAATTAATTTGCTTCTGTTAGTTATATTTGATGTTCCATTATTGCTTATATTCGACATGCGATTGAATTGAATAGATAATTAAAAAAATTCAAGGCATGTTGAAAGCGGAGGTGAATTGATTTTTCATTTCGAGGTGATCAGAAGGGATTAATGAAGGAATCCGAAAATCTTGTCGGTAAAATTAATCGTCTACCTTCAAGTAGGATAAAATTTCTTCAATGTGGTTCAAATTTTTTTATAGTTATCCAGTCCAATCCAATTCGAGCACCAAACAAGCCGTAACGATCTCTGTTTAATCCCATCGAATGAATCACAAAGACGTGTCAGTGATGTCGCTGTTAGAACATGAACGTCATGGTCATGCATGTAAGGTGAATTCTTGCGTCTTCCCTCATAACCAATGAGCATTCGTGTTTGTATTTGGTGATGGATTCAGTTAAAAGCTCCTCTCTTTTTTAAACAAGGTTCAGATGATCACTGATTGCTTTATGTGAGCATGACTTGCTCAAATCTGTGTCACTGTCTTGTTTTTTGTTTGTTTTTTTTTAAATTTTTTTTTAAAGTTAATTTAGATGTTTTTTTATTAAAGGAGTTTTAACGAAAAGCTCGCAGTACTGTTTACTTTAACGAAAAATCACATTTTTACACTAAAAAGTCAAACTGGTACTATTCACTTTACATTTTATTTTGTCCTTATCGTTAAAACTCAAAGTTTTCAAATTTTTTTCATTAGTTTACATTTTTTATCAACTTTTTAAGGAGCTGGAAATGGTTGGGACATGGACGGATGGAGGTATTGCCTCCTCCCATCCCTATACATTTGTCTGAAATCCAATAAGATTTGGGGATAGTGGCGCACCATTGAAGACTTTTTTCCCACTTACGCCCATATTTCTTGCTTGCTAATTTTTGCGCCTTTTTGGCCCCACTCTTTGGGATCAATTTTGGTCAAGTTGCGACTCCTGCCCTTCATCTCTTGCAGTTCACTTTGTTTTTTGGTTGTTTGTTATGATGCCTTTTTGCCCATCCATATTCTACTTTATTTACTTCAAGATTTTGAAACAAAGTGACCGTAAATCAATAAGGCTTCCCGAGGTTAGGAGAGGGGGGGTTGGGGTTGGTGACTATTGTATGTAGTTGTACTTTTGTTTTGCAAAGATACTGTTTTCATGACTCGAACTCGGTGATTTTTTGGTCACAAATGAGTGAACTTTGCATTCCGCCAAGACTCACCCTCTACGATTTTGAAGCAAAGGAAAGGAAAAAATTGTTTTCACTTAATTTTGTGTTCATGTTTCCTTGGATCTTACATTTGGATGGAAGCCATCCTCAGTTGGATGTAATCATGGGAACCATTTACTTAGTTGTAAGGTAAAGTCTTTTCTTTGGTTATATTCGAAGAAATTGATTTTCATCATAGCAACAAGATTCTATCTCGTGGAGATCGATTCTTGCATACCCGATGTGTATTATTACTATTATATAGAAGGGAGATGCAACACACTCTAAAAAAGTCATCGTACACAGTTATATAATAGAACAATAAAAGAGGAACGACTAAACAAGTGTATGATGATTTTTTCAGAATGCTAATAACGATTTACTTGGAAAAATATGCAGGATTTTAACCAAACTTTATGGTAGAGATTGGTATATGTACAATTGTGATACAAGTTGGAAAGAGATCCTCTCCGGATCCATTCCTCCTAATCCACCAAATCAGTATATACGTGCTATTGAAATTTGATTCAACGGCTACAAACAAGGACCCACTTTAAAAGTTATAATAACTTCAGCCGTTGGATCAAATTTCAATAGCACGGATCCACTGATTTGATGGATTAGGAGGAAGGAATTCGAAGAGGATCCCTTTCCATACAAGTCATCTACAAGGACTGCAGGGCGAGTTGGTCTGTGTGCTTCATCATCGTACTTAATTTTGTGGCAGTGTTGGGTCTTGTTCAACAAAATATTCATCAATTTATCTGTAGCTGTTAGGGTGTAGTTGAATTAAGCGTAGCGAAGCCCATAACCAAATGGGTAAACAGTAGATGTTGGAATTTTAGATAGACTGGCTTGGGGGAGGCCCACTCAAACGACACTGATACTGTTCTCAAGTTGGTAATTACCACCTGCTTAATCCGTCAATATCTGCAATGGCGTGGAAACCTTCCTCCCCAGGTACCCAGCCCACAAGATGGCTCTGACTTAATCATTTTGTTTGGCGAAATTGAGTTCAACACAACTAGCAGACATGACTACAAGAATTACTAGACCCTTATAGACTTTAGTGACTTGGTTGATGAGTTTGGAAACCATGAAGCACGAGGTCTACTCTGTCCAAGCCATCAGCCTCAACTGATAAGTCCAACCCACCATAACTATGGTTGCATCAGCTTCCTAGGAGGTCCATTCTTAGAGCAACTCCAACGTGCTCTTTAGCCCAATGGATTGGCGATTCCAATCACCCAATTGCTGCAGCAATTGGCTCCAGCCCATGCAAACAATGGGCCTCAGGGGAGGCCCGTTGGACGGGCCAGGTGGGAATCCATTGCCCGAGAGCCTGATGGCTGTGTGATGTGTGGCTAACCTCAGGGTGACCCAGCTTGAATTCATCCGTTTTCCTTTGTCGGAATCTGGAAAAAGAATGGGAAGCATGCAGGGAATTAAGCCCTCGAATTAAACCACAAGAATTGCAACACAACAAGATTTAAAGCTCAAGAACACAAGATAGTGATAGAAACATCACCTGGGTTCGAGATTGAGAGCTCAAGCTCTCGGCTTCAATGGTAGGACCTCGCACCATGCATCGATGCTGCATGCAAGGCCATGGTTGGGTTCCTTGAGTTCCATGGATTCCAAAAATATTATTTTTGAGCTTGATTTGTTGAAGAGGAAGGAGGAAGCGAGCTGACGAGAGTGAGCTGGAAAAGAGGGAGAGAAAGAAAGAAAAAGGAAGAAGAGAGAGAGAGAGAGAGAGAGAGAGAGAGAGAGAGAGAGAGAACCGGTCAAATGAGAAGCCAAAGGGAAAGGGTGGCGGGGATGTATGGATTGAATAGCCTATTGTCATGACTTTTCAATTTAAGGGTGGAGATGCAAAAGGCAGTTAGTATTCACTTAGTGGATTCAATAGTGAATTGCCCTAGGAGGCCTTTGCAACGCTGAAGTTGCTCTTAAGCCATGTTTCTGATCATCACCTTGGTAGCATTGGCATGAGGCCCGACGACAGCTGGGGTTTTAAACTTAGCAGAGTTCACGGGCAAAGTTTCATTGGCATTCATTAACAAAATTCCTTCTCTTGCTGCTTCTGTGGCTAATTCCATATGTTCTTTGGTGCATATATCCTTCTTGCCGAGAGATTCGAAAGTAGGGTTTCCGAAGTAGCCTACCCTCGTAAGCAAAACATAAAGCATACTACCTTAACAATCATCACAAATTCAATTTAATATGTAAATTTATCTTTATACCCATTTAAAAAATAAAAAACCAAACTCTAAGCATATATTCTTTCTTCTGACGTTCTCTCCTTCTAATAGATCTGTCGTCTTTCCATTCAATTCTTCACGATTTAACAGACATTAAACACAAAGTCACAAACTATAAGAAGGTTGCCTTTAAATCCACCCAAATTAATTAAGGAGATGGAAATTCCCATGAACTCATGAGAAACAGAAGCCCAGAGGGCTGACAAAAACCTAATTATGTCCCAAAGCTCTGCAAAACCTGTTCCTGCATAATCTTAAAAAATTCTTCTGTTTTTGTCCATCCAAAACACGTTGAAAATCATCCAGCCCCACGTCACCTTCACTTTATTACCCTTCCAAACCAAAGTGTGAGCTTCACTTCCTTTTCGGTTTCTGTTATTATTTGCTCTTTCGTTTTAATTATTGGAGTGGATTTATTGATAAATTGTAGTTTTATTGATAATGTATGTGATGGTGATTATGTAATAGGATAAAGAAAACAATCCACATTTAAAGTTAAATTGGGGTGTAGAGTGAAGTTACACGAGTTCAAATAAAATTTCTCTCTAGATAATATTGTTTGGATATATGGATACCTTCAGTGACTCAGCCATTAAATCTCTCCCAAAATATTACCAGTTCAGCTATAATCTGGACTAGTAGCAGTCAGTATATTGTAAAAGAAATATTTGAATGCCGAGGAAATAGCTTGGAAACTGAAAAAACCATGGAAACGCGCGTTTGATGCCAAGAAACAGGAGTAAAACAACTAGCAGTTGGATAAGACTGCATATAATTTACCAAGTTCTTTGGCTCTGCCAATTGAACCTAGATTGACTTGATCAAAGACATTGCTATTGTGTCATTGCTGGCCACATTTCTTAAATTGGTCCAAACTTTTATTTCACAAACATTGGTTTCATAGTTAGTCATCAAAATTGTCGATTTTGTACATATAAGAAATTTTGGAACTGTTTAATTTGGAGTTTTGTTCTACTTCTACCTCGTTTGGTATTATATGTATATGTATTTTGCATTGGTTTAGATTGATTTTCTATGCACAAAATATGCGTTTGAATTTATGAGTGGTACGCAGATGTGTGCCCACCTCCTTGCACTCGAGTTCAAATCACCCCTCCGGTAATAAAAGTTCAATAGAAAATATACGAGTGGTAAGGTGGGTTCGGGAGAAATTGTTTAGATATCGTGTAGCGTCAATAGAAGATCAAATAGACACGAAGTGGATGAAAATTAGAAATCAAGAAAATCAACTGGCTAGTGTTTACAAACTGATATGAAGAGGGAAAGGAGGTGCATCAGCAGCAAGCCTGCTAGTTATTCTACTAAATAATTATTTACTCACAATGAGCCTAAGACCAGTACGAGTTCATTACGCTAACAATTCACTCTTTAATGTTGAGTTGAATGGGGAAGGAGACGACATCATCTCCAAGCATAATCGTGTGTCTCCCTGATGTTAGAAGATTGTAAGCATTGTAGTTGACAAGTCCCAAGCTCTTGCAGGCATTGAACACAAAGTTAACAGTTTCGCTCTTTCCCGCTTTCACAAAGACCCTCTTAAACCCAATCACTTGCTTGGTATGCGTAGCCGCGATGCCAATAGGTGGTTTTGAGTAAACGATGATGACTTCACTTCCATCTCTCTTACCCACATTTTTTACTTCAACCCCGAACCCAAATTCATGGTTGCATTCCAAGTCGTCGATAAGGACTGAAGGGCAAGGTGGCTTGTATTCACTATCCTTGTACTCTATGTCGCGGCAGTGTTGGGACTTTCTCAACTTCACATCCAGAGATCTCTTTGCAGATCGCAGAGTGTAGTTGAACTGGGTGTAGCTAAGGCCGTATCCAAATGGGTAAACTGTGGAGCCATTGTAGAATTTGTATGTACGACCGGGATAGCCTAGGCTATCGATTGGCCTCAATTTCATGGATGTCATGGGTAGCATATCCACATAACCAGCTTCGTACCATGTAAGAGGCAATCTTCCTCCTATAACATAGTAAACGTTTACATTATATCGTAGTGATCAAGTTAAAAGCTAAGATATACATCTAGGCTAAAATTATGCTAAATGATGCAACATTATCATCAAAGTGGACTAAAAAATGTGGTTCTTTTAGCGTTACGTACCAGGATTGTAATGTCCAAAAGCAACATCTGCAATGGCACGGCCGCCTTCCTCCCCCGGGTACCCAGCCCACAATATTGCATTGATGTTATCATTTTGTTTGGCAAACCTGATATCAACACCACCAGCAGACATGATTACAAGAATTACCGGACCCTTGGAGACTTGAGCGACCTGATTGATAAACTGGGTTTGGTAGCCAGGAAGAAGCAGATCCACCCTATCCAAGCTCTCTGCCTCAACTGATAAGTCCAAACCAGAAAAAATTATGGTTGCATCTGCGTGCTTTGCGGCTTTCATGGCAGGGAATATCAGACTATCATTTGCACATGCAACTCCATCACATCCCATTTCATACTTAACTTCTCCGTAGGATGAAAATGCATCGAGAGGTGATGTGAATTGACAAGGAATACCTGAACACAAAATTGAACGGTATGTTTAGTTGAAGAGCATATCATGTTAAAATGTACAACTTAATTGAAATTGTATGTTTAGATTCAATACCTGCATAGTTTCCAATCATTGCCGCTGTAGCATTGGCATGAGGGCCAACGACGGCTAGTTTTTTTATTTTCTTAGATTTCAATGGCAAAGTTTCATTGACATTCTTCAATAAAACGATTCCTTCTCTTGCCGCTTCTGTTGCTAATTCAATATGTTGTTTGGAGCACACATCCTTCTTGCCGAGAGACTTGAAAGTGGGATTCCCATCGAAGAAACCTAGCCTCATAAGCACCACATAAAGGTTCTTGAGTGACCGGTCGATTTCTACCTCCTTCACTTTCCCTTGCCTCACCGAATTCTGAGTGAAGTTTGTGTAGTAGACTCCACAGTCCAAATCCATCCCTAAAGTAATTAACATGGAACTTAATTAATCAAACCTAGTAATTAAGGACGAAAAAGCAAGAACATAAGTATTCCCAAACAGAAACGGTTCAATAAGTTAATTTTGTAAGGAGTACTAGCCTGCTTTCAAAGCTTGTGCAGCAGCATCCTCCTTGGTGTCGCCGAGCCATTTGTGGCCGTTCACCATAACTTCAAGAGAGTCACAATCCGAGACTATATATCTGCAAGACATAAAAATAAAAATAAAAAAAATTAAATTCCTGCATGAAGACTAGCGGAAAATTTTAAAGGTGATTAGTATACGTACCCATGAAGATCCCAATCTCCTCTAATGGTTTCTTTCAAGAGCTTCGGATCAGCACAAGTGGGGATGCCGTTAACACGGTTATAAGAGCACATTACACTGCTTACATCACCATCCTTAATACACATCTCGAATGGTTTTAGGAAAGTTTCCGCCATATCTTGCTCTGTCACCTTTCATAACAAAAAGGAAAATAGGAAAATGAACTTAATTTGGCATGACGAAACTTCGTTTTAAATGAAAAATGCTAGAAGACACATGAGTTATCAATGTGTTAACAAGCTCATGTTGTTTTTTTATCTGACATATATTATAGACTTACCCTCGCATCAAAATGGTAACGATCCACACCGAGCCAGTTGTCTACATCGTAGGCGGCATAATGCTTGCAGCATGAGGAAACTTTTAGGGGTCTAGAGTTCAAATCTGTGGCATTCTCTGTGCCCTCAACATCCTGCAAGCCTCTGACGTAGTTAGAGGCATAAACACCAACAACATAAGGGTCTTCACCGGGTGTTTCCGTGGCTCTTCCCCACCTTGGATCCCTCACGACATTAACGTTGGGACTCCAATATGTCAATCCGCCTCTTCCTAGATTGTACATGGCTCTTGCTTCTGTTGAAACAGCCTAAATATTCATAAGGAACAAAAACCATTTAGTACAAGCAAACGAAAAGTAACTTTGAGCATTTTTTTGTTAGTGAAAAGTAACTTCCATGGCTTTTCATGTCATCTTTTGCAACCAAAAATGTAGTGATGATAATGTATACCTGACCAATTTGCTTCCACAATGACTCGTTGAATGCTGCGGTTGTAAGAATAACAGTGGGAAAGCTTGTTGCACCCGGAATAAGATCATCGAAATAAGTTCCGGGACCAACGTTCGACACACCATGGAGTGCCTCAGACCACCACTCATACTTAGGCAACCCCAACCTCGGAACCCCCTTTGCACTATTTCCTAGTTGCTTCACTTTCTCTGCCAATGTCATCCTATCTACCAGATCCTTGGCCCTATCGTCATACGACAACTTGGAGTCGCAGAAGCCAAAGGTTGACACGTCCAAGCCAAGGTCGGAAAACCTTGAAGGATCACATACATGAGTGAAATTGCTACCGCCATTGTTACGGTCTACATTTTTCGAGTGTAGAACTCTTCTGGCATTGGAAGAAATGACAAAGGAAGCAATAGAGAAACAAACAAGAAAAGTAACAATATTGATAGCCATGGTTACTATCTGCTTGATGATGATGTTGGACGGGCATATATATATATATATATATATATATATATATGTATGTATATATAGACGCAAACTACTATTTCGTAAAGAAGCTCCCCTTATCCAGATGGTTACTTTCTGTTTTTTAAATCTCACGAAAGCTTACCTAATAAGATAGTTTGTTTGTTTTTTCCGAGAATTAAGATAGTTTGTTCAGTCAAATTCAATTCAACTTGAATTCACTTACACATTTCGGATATTACAGTTGAAAATAAAAGCTTAGGATAAATTTAGAATTCTCTACAATCTCATAATTTTTAAATACAACTTCATTATTTTATTATTCTCTATAAGAACCAATTTATAAAATTATAAAGGAGAATAAATCAAAACAATCCTTATACCCAATCAAATCATATCATATCATATCAAATCCCTAATTAAACATACTTTCTTTTATATTTGCCAAGAAGAAAAAAAGATCTAATTTGAAACTTAGTAAATTCAACACCCCCTTCATGTGGAACCATGCATTAAGTGAGCCGCACGTGTAAAATCTTCAATGATATGCTGAAATTAACGCTAATTTTTTTGAAAGCTCAACTAATCACAATCTGTTGGAACCAACATCTCTTTTTAATGCCCAGGTGGAACTAGCGCCAATCATTTTGAAAGCTCAGCTAATCACAATCTATCGAAACTAACACCTCTGCTCAAATGCCCAACTATAACTAGCACCAATCTTTTGGAAAACCCAACTAGAACAAACACTTATTTTCGAAAGCCCAACTAACAAATTGTAATCCGTGGAACTAACGCTAATCTTTTCAAAAACCCAATTAGAACTAACGTCTTTTTACAAAAAGCAGTAAATAAATCTTTTGATATGTTGGAACAAACGTCTCTTTTTGAAAGTCCAATTAGAACAAACGATAATCTTTTCGAAAACCCAACTAAAATTAATGTCTCTTTTCAGAAGCCCCAACCACCAAATATCTTTTTCCTGCAATTTTGTCATTATTCTTGTTTTTTTTTTTCCTTCGTCAAGGAAGCTAGAGCACAATTTTTTCCTTATTCATGGCAACAACAATACTTTAACTTCTATTTCTCTTCTAACATTCATAAATAATCTTCACGTCTCAAGTTCATAGCTTGTGGGTGCACGAAGAAAGTTAGCTTCGTGCATCAATAGGAAAGCACTTACAACAAAGTTCAACTAAGAATCTAACTCTGCTTTGATACCAAGTTGAAAATAAAAGTTTAGGATAAATTTAGAATTCTCTACAATCTCACAATTTTCAAATACAATTTCATTACTTTATTATTCTCTATACGAAGGTATTTATAAGATTATAAAGCAACAATACTAAAAAATAAATCAAAACGATCATTTGTCCACAAGACAAGAAAACCTATACCAAATCAAATCATATCATATCAAATCCCTAATTTTTATCATATCAAATCTCTAAAATATTTTCCTCTATATTTCCCAACAATTACTAGCATAAAGTCAATGCTATCTGTCCTGGAGATATATGATATGGATTTGACTAAAACTATTTGACTCTGAAAAAGTTTTATTTGGTTTTGTAATCAGGACGTGGCCTTCTTTTATTATGAACTCGTTTAAAGTGTTTTTTATAAAAAAACGTTTTTGAAATAATCCTTATTAAAAATTCAAGTTGATCTTAGAAAAGCTCTTAAAAGTACTTTTTACAAAAAGTATGTATGTGGTGCTTCTTTTAAAATAAATTTCACAAAAACACTTTTAGTCATGTTAAAAGCACTTTCAAAAAAATATATATATCTTTGAAAAAAAATTAATGTAGTAATCCTTAAAATTTGTCCACATGTTGTGAAGGCAAACTAAGAGCAACTCCAGCCCGACACCAATGGACCGGCACCAAGTGAAGAAAATGGCCCGGCACCAAGTGAATCAGCTCCAGCCCGCAAAACAGGCTGGCACCCAGCCCGTGCCAGTCAAGAGCCCAGCCCAAAATGGACAGACCCAGAGGCCGGTCCGTTTCCCTGGCACGTGCACAACACGCGCTCCTGGCGCGAGTAGCCGACAGCAACTGCAGGCGGTGGGGCCCGCGTGCAGGGCAAGTTGCGTTCGTCTGTCAAAGGGCTACGTGGCTCTCCTCAGAGCCGTTGGATTTCCAACGGCTAGTTTTTGTAGGCCGTTGGATTTCCAACGGTAAAAAAAATTTAAATTTCACTTTTAAATTGGACCGTCCGATCACAGATCAACGGTCCACGTTTTTTTCACCAAAAATTAAAAAAAAAAAAAAAAAAAAGGGCCCAACGGTCAGAAATTTGACCGTTGGCCACGTGGCAGCGCGTTGGCTGTTGGATTTGATTATTTTTCAAATCCAACGGTCCAGATTAATTACAACATTAAAATTTATTAAAAATTAATTAAAAATTGTCAAAATTTTTTTAAAAAATACAGAAAAATTTTAAAAAATTAATTTTTTTTTTCTATAAATACCTAACCCTCATCTTCCACCTTACACCACATTTCAATAATTTCTACACTTTCTACACTTTCTACATTTGAATATTTTGTACACTTTGAGAGAAAAAAATGACTTCGTGGAAGCTCAATGAAGATGTTACGTTGTGTGAATGTTGGGTTCGCACTACTCATGACCCGATTACGGGTAATGAGATGGATAAGCGAGAAATGTGGAGTAAAATTACGAAATCGTTTTGCGATGTACATGGAAAAGATGCCAGATCTAGTCAAGGTCTTCAAGGTCGTTGGAAAAAACTCAACGCATCCTTTACTTGTTGGAAATCTTAGCGGAAATCTATTCAAAAAATAGTACGTTCGGATAATGACACGTGGCGTGACGAGATTGGTTAAAAATCTTATTGAAATCTTGCCTAAATTATTGTAAACAGGAAGTGACACGTGGGTTGTCGGGATTGGTTGAAAATCTTAGCGGAAATCTATTCAAAAAATAGTACGTTCGGATAATGACACGTGGCGTGACGAGATTGGTTAAAAATCCTATCCGAAATTAAAACTTTTTTTTTATTATTATTTTATAAAAAAAATTATTTAATATTTTAAATGGACTGGGTGCCAGCGCATTTTGTAGGGGTGGAGATCGTTTGTGCCAGCGCATTTTTAGACTAGGTGCCAACACATTTTTTTTTGGGTGGAGATGCTTTGGCCTATTACTGTTCATCGGGTCTATTACTGTTCATGTAAGTGGATAAATGGGCTGGGTTGCTGGCGCAAAGGGATAGGGGTGGAGTTGCTCTAAACTACAAGCATCCACGATGCATCAAAAATGACAATAACCCAGTAATATTGTGGTAGTGCCGTAGTGGTGATCAACAAATTCTCATGGAAGTGGGTTTTATTACTCACCCCTTAACTTTGATGCATTTTCATAATAATAATAATAATAAATAAATAAAAAAGGTGACAATCACCCACCTTGTAGAATGTTAAAGCACTTTCAAAAAAAATATATATCTTTGAAAAAAAATAATGTAGTATCCTTAAAATTTGTCCACATGTTATGAAGGCAAACTAAACTACAGCATACCACGATGCATCAAAAATGACATAACCAGTAAATAATGTGGTAGTGCCGTAGTGGTGATCAACAAATTCTCATGGGAAGTGGTTTTTATACTCACCCCCTTAACTTTGGTGCATTTTTCATAATAATAATAATAATAATAATAATAATAAATAAAAAAAAAGGTGAACAATCACCCACCTTGTAGAATGTTAAAAGCACTTTAAAAAAATATATATATCTTTGAAAAAAAATTAATGTAGTAATCCTTAAAATTTGTCCACATGTTATGAAGGCAAACTAAACTACAAGCATCCACGATGCATCAAAAATGACAATAACCCAGTAATATTGTGGTAGTGCCGTAGTGGTGATCAACAAATTCTCATGGAAGTGTTTTTACTCACCCCCTTAACTTTGGTGCATTTTTCATAATAATAATAATAATAATAAGGTGAACAATCACCCACCTTGTAGAATGTGTGTGTATACATATATAGCGAAACCATGATTAACCTTTTTGATGCGAATTCAAATAATAGTTATGAGAAAGAAACTAATAAAAATTTATCTTACCTACACATCTTATCTCCTTGTTCTTTTGAATTGGGATTTCCGATCTTATTTTCTTTTATATGCAGATACGTATATCATTGTGTTGAGATCTTATATGTTCTTCAAATTCTTTTGGATATATTTTTTTAAGCTCATAAAATGAACAGAAATGAGTATATTATCTTTATATTTCTTTTGTTTATTTTTATTTAATATAGTGAAAATAGATGAAATTACAAAATATATACATGGAAACAAATTAGTCAGTTAATTAAATCCAGACTCTGACCCATATATATGGTATAATTAGCAGCTAACTTGGTCATGAAATTTCCTTCCATGTTCTAGTTTTATGAAATCTCAGCCGTGTCAATGTCTTTTGTTTTATAAATTTACTATTAGGAAAATGAGAGAGTTTAAAACTTTTATAATAATTTAAGAGATTGAGAGTTTCAAATCCGAGACTCATCGACAGAAACTCAAACCCTATCCACTAAAACATTAACCCACATGCACCACGTTAATATATGTTGTTTTCTTTTTCTTTTCTTTTTTTTTTTTTTTTTGAATTGGCATCCTTTGTAAACTTTTACGTCAATATCATCCTGTCTACCACAGACATGAGTAAGTAGCTACCACCATTGCTGCAAGCTTCATGTTTCGAGTCTAGGACCCTTTTGTTAGTGGAAGAGATGACGAAGGAAGGAATAACAATGGAAACAACCGTCATATTATATATATAATAAGTTTACCATCCTATTTATCATCGTTGAATTAGTTTATATTTTTAGATTTTTATCTATCCACTACAACAATGATAACTAATAATCGCACCCATGGTTATTATCTAGCTTGGTGCAGATAAAGTTGGGGACCCAAGCCATCCATCTAGCTTGGGGCAGATTAAGA